ACCCTAAATTATTTGATGACAAGAAAATTGCCATCAGCTCCAAGATTAGGTGGTTGCGTTAACTGGTCATGTCCATTATCAAATCGATGTGACTGAAACGTACACCTTACTTAACTATTAACACCAGTAGACATTGTGAGTGGTTGGCGGGTGCTCTGGTGTGGTTTGCTTCTTCTTTCCTATCAAACATCTATCGTCCTTATCTCCCCTCCTTTTTTATGTTTGTTACTCTCTTGTAACACCTCTAATCTTCTGGCGCTCATTTGACCTTATGCAGTTGCGAGCGCTGTAAAGCCTCAACTAAAACAAAAAACAAAAGACATTGAAAGTAGAAAGGATACCGTCACTGGAGATGAGATATTTCTGTAAACTGCTCAATGTCCCATTATATTATTAAGATTAGAGGCCTATGACCAGTGAGGCACATGTAGTGAGAACCAGACTTGGAAACGTCCTTTGGACGTATGAAGGAAGACCTCCTGACTTCAGTGAAAAGATGAAAACTGAAGTAGTACAGGCTCTTCACGGTCATCTGGGCTGGCCAAGAGTGGAATGACCGTGATTGGAAGATCATCATTGTACATACTTTGTTCATGAACTACGGAAAGCTAAGAAACCGCCATAGGAGTGTAAGAAGCTGGTAGAAGTGGAATCTACAGTGGTTCCCCAACTATCAGCCAGACTTCGGGAATTAAAAATTGATTTGAACTAGTGATCAAACAGTATCGACGGCAAGTCTTTGTTGTTTGCAACTGGAAAATTTTATTCTTTATCGAAGGCTCTCTTTCTCCCTTTGTGCGTGACTGCAAAATTGGACCACAACGAGCCACCTATGGTCTCCCTAAAAATGTTTGATGCATTAATCCCTTTTCTCTAGAAGATTAATATCCGTCCCCGTGGTTTTATGCAAGAAAAAGTCTGAAATTATGCAAGCTAAGCCCACAATTGTGAAATTATGCGATTCTGTTAATTTTTAACAAAGAACGATAAAGGAAAATAATCAGAAATTATGCCAAAAATGATCAAATATTGCTAAATTATGCGGGGTGCAGAAAACCACGGGGACAGTAATATGATGCGTTTGACACGGAGAAGAAAGTTAATGACTTTCCAACTATAACGAACCGGAGCAGCTGTAGAGTCATCTGTTTCCATCTCACTACCCTGCTTTAAAAAACAACAACCGTCGAAATTGTCCAAGACGCCCGCTCATTTGTCGAGATGGAAAGTGTTTGTCTTATACAGGTGGACGTCCTGGACAGTGATGAGTTCTCTCTCTCTCTCTCTCTCTCTCTCTCTCTCTCTCTCTCTCTCTCTCTCTGTGTGTGTGTGAGAGAGAGAGAGATAGATTAAGGTTAGATCAGGTTCGATTCTATTTCAAAATAACACGCTAAGGATATACAGAAGAATGAATAGATAAAAGAATAAAAATGTATTTTCAACTATGTTGGGGCATTGTAGTACGCGAAGTCCTGATGATGTACCTGTCAGACTGATGGGGGAGCGCTCTTATTTCAGACCAACTGCCATGGAGAGATTATATAGAGAATGTGAACGGAAGAAAACGAAGTAAACTCTTGAGAAAAACGAGGCTGCTATTAACGCGCAAAATCCAAGTAAACACATGTTTGGGTAAAAAACTAAAGAGAAGATACCACAATTTCCAGCATGTGGTATTTTTTAGTTTGGAAAAAGATTTTTGTAAAAAGTATGAAAGTGTCCTTTTTATTAATTAAACAAATGGAACAAACTAAACGACTTCTCATCTATCGTTCATTGAAGCACACGTTTAAGCTTATAATTATTATGTTTCCCATACGATCAGTTTATGTGGGATTATGTATGCATGTACGGTACGTATGAAGTAATTAATGTGCGATGCATGATTAAACAACATAGGCTAATATAATTAACAAAATCAAAACCCGTAAAAAACAAATATTCAAAAACTCAGCAAAATGCTGGAAACTCAACACTTTAGGGCGAAAACATAGAGAACGCCGATTTCGGAGACTAGTTGACTCAGTAAGCGCCGATAGGTATAAAAATTCCCTTGTGATTTCCAACCTGCCCCACATAGAGCTGGCAGACTGCAGACGGCTTTATTAACTTTAAGTTCGGATCGGCGTTAATTTTGTCGGCTTTATCGGAATCCAAACTACATTATTATCTTATTACGCCGAAAAAGTGGGAAGGGCGTCTCGTTGTCATTTCGCGACCGCAGTGCTTTCTTGCCGTATCTTCATTTTTTACAGTCAAAATGTGACTTCTTCTTTAGCTCACTCTTTGTTGTGAACTGATTTCTCTGTCATTAAAAATTGAGATGCGACAAGAAAGCACCGAGGTCGTGAACTGATCTCAATTATCAATGCCATCTCGCCGTCGCCAACTTGGGTTGAGCGGTTTGCGTGACGTCTCCCGACTGGACAGGGGACAATTTTAAATGGCCATTTCAAAGCTGGTGCTTAATCATGGTAGACAAAAACTAATTACATTTTTAAAATCAGCGTCATCAAATTAGGGTGGCAAGGGAGCAGAATAGTATTTTAACCAATATTTAGGAATTTCGAGTTTTTTAAACCCCCAAGTAAATACTTCATACAAGCTGTGTTGTGGTGTAGTTTTTTTCTCTTATATTTAGGTCTAGGCTTTAGGCGGCCTCTATGTGGAGTCAAGCAGACACCTACTGGCGCCTGTCGGCGTCGATCTTCAGCCGCTCAAGTTTCGGCGTTCTCTATGTTTTCGCCAGAGAACGCCGATTTCGGAAACTGACTCAGTAAGCGCCGATAGGTATAAAAATTCCCTTATGATTTCCAACTTGCCCCACATAGAGCTGGCAGACTGCAGGCGGCTCTAAACTCGGGTCGGCGTTGTCGGCTTTATCGGAATCCGAACTACATTCTTATTACGCCGAAAATGTGGGAAGAGCGTCTCGCTGTCAACTCGCGACCGCAGTGCTTTCTTGTCGTATCTCCATTTTTTAATAGTGAAAATGTGACTTCTTAAGCTCACTCTTTGTTGTGAACTGCTTTCACTGTTATTAAAAATGGAGATGCGACAAGAAAGCACTGAGGTCGCGAACTCTCAGTGCCGCCCCGCCGTCTCGCCATCGCCAACTCCGGTTGAGCGGTTTGCGTGACGTCACCCGACTGGACAGGGGACAATTTTAAATGGTCATTTCAGGACTGGTGCTTCACGGTAGACAAAAACAAATTACATTTTTGAAATCAGCGTCGTCAAATTAGGGTGTTACCCGAGCAGAATTACATTTTAAGCAATGTTTTAGGCTAGAAATTTCGAGTTTTTTAAAATCCCCAAATAAATGCTTCATAAATACCAGCTGTGTTGTGGTGTAATTTTTTCTTATATCTAGATCTAGGCTTTAGGCGCCCTCTATGTGGAGTCAAGCAGACACCTACTGGCGCCGATCTTCAGCCGCTTAAGTTTCGGCGTTCTTTATGTTAAATCGCCCTTACACTTGAGAAAGACCTTATTATGCAGCCTAAACTAAAGGCGTTAATTAAAAGGAACGTGCGATGTGTGGGCGGTTCTTGCCCTTATCGACATACAAGGGGAACATGCAGCTGCTCCCCCCCCCCCCCCCGCCCCAATAAAAATAAATTATATTGTTTTAGCTATCGTGAAATCAGAGAGTTTGGTGAAATCTTTCTCCTTTTCATGCCGGTTTGTACACCCATGCATGACACAAAAGTACATCATCGTATATTGTTACGATATGACCAAAGATCTGTATAATATATATATATTAAGATAATCTTTGATATGACAACAAATTCAAAAGTGTTTTTATCGCCAACTGGCAATTTTGCCCTCAACGCTATGGCGGCTGCGCAGGGCACTAGGGCACCCTACCGCCCTAAGCTGGCATTCGTGACGTCACTGCTGCGGACTCCAGTGCTTTGATCTTTCGCATTATTATTTTTTAAAATTTTGCCATACATTTTTTTCTTTAAGTAAATTAATGTATTGACGGTTAAATTAGTACAAGAACAAAAATTATCTATTATAAATATTTTTCAAAGCAAAGAAGCATAATCATTGATATCTCGTCAAACGAGACTTGTTGAAAAATAATTAAAACATGGCGTCGAACATTGTTTACGGTTGTTAGGCAGACTATTTGCACGGAAGATACAAACAAAGTGACGTAGCAGTCTGTATGAATGTAGAGTTCCCCTTTTAAAGTTCTCTGACGTAAACCCGTTTCATTGATCGAAACCGGTATGCAAAGACGATATTCTGATTCAGCATAGATAGAGTGATAGTACAGTGTACAGGCACTAGAAATCTAGATTCTATGCCTCTTCATTGAAATTGATTTTGTCCCCCTTCGACTTCGACGCCTGATGTTTGGCCTAAGCCAAGGGCGTATTGTATGTGGACAAAATACGGCTGAACATAGACTTTTCAACTAGATCTACCGTGGCTGGGGGAGTAAGGTAATTTTTTAGTTATGATTCGTTTATTATGACTGCAGCCCCTGTGGTAGGTGAGACTAGGACATTAGACTAATGATTAGTATGATGTAGAATCTAGATATATAGTAGAGTAGTCTAGAATCTAGATCTAGTCTAGAATCTAGATTTAGATTAGATATCTAGATTTAGATCTAAATCTAGATCTCTAATATTATTATATCCTGTTGTGTGTTTAGCATAAGACTCTAATTATGAATTTTAACCAAACTTTTTTCAAGTAATTTTATTTTCTTGTTTTTCGTTTTCTAGATGCTTCACACTACAAGCATTTTTTATATAGAATATCTAGATCTAGAGATCTAGATCTATATTTATATTCTCTCAAATCTTTCTTTGTAGCCTAGGCTACCCTCCGGTTACAGGGCTGTTAAAGTACTTTTAAAAAGGTACTTAAGTACAAATTTAAATACAATCTAAAATATGTACTTAAGTACCGTAAAAGTACTGTCCTGTAAAATGTACTTGACAAGAGTACAAGTATTTTTTTAAAAAGTGAGTACATTTTGAGTACTTTCTGATATGCTAAAACATTTCAGTGCTAATACAAAACATCAAATTGAATAACATATTCGGTATATTTGACAAATTAGGCCATTTAATTGAGACTGATATATCGATCTGTAAAGTCTGATATCTTACTTTTGACTACTAAATAGATTCTAGTAGGTTCCTGCTCTTTTTGACAGTGCAGAATAAAATAGGATTTTGTAGCCAGGAATTCACTAGTATAAGCGGGATTATATCCAGAGCGCATATATATATATGTGTGCTGTTTGGAAGATCTGTTTCAATAATATGATCTGAAAACTAATTAGTTCTTCGTTCCTTTTAAAGGAGAATATACTTTTTTTGCATGAAACTTTCCCAACTATCAAATTGCTCCCAAAGCTGTGCTGCTTTTCCTGGCCTACATTATACCAGGATGTTTGCTTTCAGTTTTAAATCTAGATCTATATTGCGGAGTGAAAAGAACAGACTTTTCTCTAAAATTTTCAAAGCACCATAATTTGTTTTAATTTAAAGCTCATGTATGAATACCAGCTACCTCTTTAAGCTATTTGGTTTAAGATGTTTCATTTGGTGCATGTATTATTTTAGGTTTTAGAAATATGAAACGTTTCTTTGACCAAGTTGGTAAAATAATAACAATATATTTACTTTTCAGTCCTTCACATTAAAATTCCCTATAATAAATAATAAAAGATAAGTTAAAGAAAAAAGCAATAATAATTGATCCCTGAAGGGAGATTCGGTTTGCAATGACTTGCATAATTGTCAGTGATATGACTTAACAAACTAAAATGGTAACATTATTTGAGAGATAATAATAATAATAGTAATAATAGATAGCATTTGTATAGTGCAAATTCTGGCTCCATAAGAAGCTCTATATCGAGGTTTACAATCTATACTGTTACCCCAGCAGATCTGAGAGCATTCTGAAACAAACTCAACTTCCTGGAAAGCATACAGTGCAAGCTGCCATTTATGGGTGCTAAAACACTAAGATAGGCATGTTTGCTCAAAGCACACACCCTATTTTCATCACCTATTGAAGCCATGTCAACGATTTGTTTGACACTATGTTTACGAGCCTGAAAGCACTTTAAACCATGTGGCCACTGGAGTCCATTCCCTGACATCACCCTCATCAAATGAAAAAGAGAAAGATGAATAATTTTTAAAGTTAATATATGGCTGTTATATAAATAGGTAATTGAAGCAGTAAATAAAAAAGAAAACATTGTATGCTACATTATAGCACCCTAAAACTCTTTCTTTGTAAGAATTTCTAATTTTAACTAACTCCTTGTTTTAAGCTACAAAAATTCGTAATTTTCACCTCAGATTAAAACATTTTTTGTGTGGAGGAAACCTTGGCAGATGTTGCGATAGACAGTGTCTCATGTTCTAAACAAAGCCAGCTTTTCATTCATTATCTGCCATCAGCTTGCTTTGCCACAACCGTATCATGCTTAACCTCATGCCCCAAATGCTGCTGTGCAAACAATTCTTCTGAGTTAATCTCATCTCCTCCAAATACCGCTAAGCTAACTATCCATGCTATGTATCTCTTACTACTGGTAGTTCAGTGAGTTCCTGAAGGATTGTATGCATTTTTCATTCTTAGATTGCAATATATTATTCTATGTATCTGATGACTTACCGGTACCTGTAGAGTTACTAAAGTACACTTATGCAAGCACTAAACACACAGCCTACCTACTAGATTGGCCATTGCACATCTAGCATAACATTTATGGATTCACAATGTAAATAATGCAAATAGTATAACTGATTACTTTGTATAGGTACCTTTTTCCTCTTCTTTCTTTTCAAAATTGTTTTGCTCATATGAAAATGATTAAAATGAATTTTTCCCCTTGTTTTCAGTAGGTTATGTCAAGGCGGGGGACTTTTTATGGGCACGATGTGTCCTTTTTTTCATTATTGACTCACATAATATGACCTTCACATCATTGTCATCATCAGCATTCTGTGTTAGGTGAAATATAGAATAAAGTGTCTTGAAATTTTAATATGTCTTGTTACAAACTCAGTAAAAATTGCTAATGCAAATTGACTTCAGAAGGTGTAAAACGCATAGATCTATCTTTATCGTTTTACCATCAACATCAACATCATCATCATCATCATCATCATCATCATCATCATCATCATCATCATCATCATCATCATCATCATCATCATGTTTTAAAGTAGAAAAAAATGTATACTTGAGACTTGAATAGGGTTATTGAATAGGGTAGGTCACATTTAATCAGATGTTTGTATAGGCCTCGATGTTCATTGTTTTGCCAATAAGGCTTCTTCTTCTTCTTCATCATCATCATCATCATCATCATCATCATCATCATCATCATCATCATCATCACCACCACCACCACCATCATCATCATCATCATCACCACCACCACCACCACCACCATCATCATCATCATCATCATCATCATCTAGGATAACATTTGTATAGCGCAAATCCCCTCTCAACAGCAAGCTCTATGTGCTTCACCATCTATACTATTACCCCAGCAGACCTGAGAGCATTCTGAAACAAACTCAACTACCTGGGAAGCATGCAGTGCAAGCAGCCATTTATAGGCGCTAAAACACTAACATACTGACAAGATCTTTCGCTGTCTATGGTTGGGTACCCATTTACTGAGTGAAGCGAGAAAAATTCGTTTAAAATGCCTTTTCCAAGGACACAATGTCGGGCCCACTGTTCGAACCCCTGACCCCGCAACATAATGATTACGAGTCCAGTAGCCTAACCACTTGGCCACCAACGCCACCATCATCATCATTATCATTATCATATCATCATAATCATCATCATCATTTTTGTAAGTTTGAAATCATTTGAAAACAAAAACGAAAAGTGAGTGAAGACTCTATGATAGAGAAAATATAATTGCTCTGTTTTGGATTCTTTGGGAACAAAAAATACCCTCCAACAGACTATTCTATTTTAACCATAAAAAACTTTCACTCCTTAGAGCTTGTCTCCTTATGTGTGATGCAACGTCGCGTAGTGTGGGTCCTTGCCGTTCTAAAATCAATCCAGTAAGATTATAAAAGAAACTGTCTCCTCACACGTGACGCGACTTCAAGTCGCAGGCGACCATCGTCTGCAATCAGTCCATGTAGCGATGGAGGTTCTCATCATGTAATACAGACTGGGGGTGTGTGTAGTGTGACAAGTTTAGAGCTTCACCATTGTCAAAATACGTAGTCAAGGAGTGGTGGTGTTTGTGTGTGTGTGTGTGTGTGTGTGTGTGTGTGCGTGTGTGTGTGTGTGTATGTTTGTAGGATTTTCATCTACAATTCAACCCAATGCAAGTTTTGTAAACCTAATCTTAATTTTTTTTTTTAACGGACCGCAGGAGGAGATGGAGGATGAGGAGAAGGTGGAGGAGGAGGAAGAGGAGGAGGAAGAGGAGGAGTAGGACTTACACAAGATTAGCCATGTATGGAATATAAAATGTCAGTGGCTCATAGAACTCCCATCTGATGGACTTTGTGCTTCCCTGTCCATCTTGACATTAGAATTTGTCACTGTTTCTCTTCTGTGAATTGCCAGTCGCGCCTTGCTAAACCTCACATGAGGAGACATTTTTATTGCTTTTGTCGCATGCGACTGAAGCTTTGGGCACCTTGTGGTGGCGCATAAAGATACACACCTAGCGACTCATCACTAGCGACTGTTGCACGCGATTAAAAGTTGCGTCATGCAAAATGAAACATAGGCTTACATGATGAGCAGTGGTAGGTATGATGAAAATACAGCAGGAAGACTTGAGAAAGGAAAAGCTATGGTTAGTATCATCATCATCATCATCATCCTCATCATCATCCTCATCATCATCATCATCATCATCATCATCATCATCATCATCATCATCATCATCAGTTTGACTGGTTAAAGGCCTTTTTCTAAATTCTAAAATTTATGGTGAGGTGGATACGTCATCATTATCACCAACGTCATCATCTTCTTCATCATCAGCATTGTCATTTACTTCACCCCGACGTATCACTAAATTTGCACAATCATCACAACTGTTCATATTACCAACACCATCTTCCATACACAGGTAACAGTACATTGTTATTCCATCCACTCTAAGAGCAATAGTAGTTCCACCTGCAAGACCACAGTTCATGAGAATCTATTAAAAGGATTTGATGGAATCAAAAGTGACAACAGCAGCAACAACGACACAAACAATGTGAAAATCATCAGCAGCAACAGCCAAAAGATCGAAGAGATGGTTAAGAAAAATAATGGTTGGAGGAAGGAGTGGAGGAGAGGAGAAAAATATTAATGAGGTTGTCTTATTCACCCCAAGTACAAACATTCCCATTCCTTAGTTGTGACAATATGTAATCACATTTTTTTTGCCAACCCATAAAGGTCTTGTACACCTAATGTTGATATTTTAAAAAATTCATCAGACTTGTTTACTTCATTACATTGCCCATTGTGCTTTCTCCTTGACTACAATAGTAACATACGTGCCAAGAATATTTCCTTTGTGCGTTGACCTGATAACATGTCATTACAGGTCTTGTTCTGCACTGTCTTTATTCTTGTGCCACCCAAACTGCCCATTATTTCTAATGACATTGTGATTGACTGTCTTTCTATTGAACATGGATTTTCAATGGGTGTCAATGCAAGTCAGAACGTTAGGTCAAAGTCTATTTATATATGTAAAGTGTGGACTTCATTCTTCATGAGGAAATTGAAATTTGTAGGTTGAATGTAGTCTCTGAAAAATGCTTTCCTCTCGGAGCAAGTTCATGCTCTCTTTAGAAGGCATTATATGTAGGCTTGCTACACTTATTTTACTTTCTTCCTTCTGAATTTTCCAAAACACCTGTTTCTATTATGATAATACAATGAACGACAGAGGATCTGTTGAGACTTGTTCAATACTAGGTGTATTGGCTTCTTGTTAAGCCAATATGGTGCATATTTTTGTACCTATTGATTATAAAATTATTGTCGTCAATAGTGATAAATTACATTAGATAATATTAATGATGATCTGATCATCATCATCATGGTGACCTTGAGACTGGTCTTGGATGCACTGCTCCTTGGTTGCCCCTTATAGCTGCTTGATCTTAGGTTCTAACATTTATTTCTGCTTATGGCTTGATACTGTCATAATTTATTAATACTTTTTTTATGATGAAAAATAAAAGAAACTTTTGAAATAGGAAATGAAAGGAAAATGTGTTACTAGGGCTTATGTTTTAGTATATGCATTTATATTTTCAGGCTGCTCCATGGCGAGGCGACAAACGGTTGTGTGTTATATTTGTGGGAGGGAATTTGGATCAAAATCAATTTCAATTCACGAGCCACAGTGTTTAAAGAAATGGAACAATGAAAATGAAAAGCTCCCTCGTGGTCAGAGACGTCCCCCTCCTAACAAGCCCCAAATTCTGCCTTCTATTGGTAGCTCAGGGAAACATGACACTGAACGTTTTAATGAGATGGCATGGCAAGCTGCTCAGGCCAATCTTGTAGAGTGTGACAACTGTGGGCGTACTTTCCAGCCTGATCGATTGCAAGTTCATCAGAGGAGTTGTAAACCAGGGAAGCCTCTGAGGCCTCTACGTCAAAATGTGAATGCTAATAATACCCCAGACTTGAATGACCAGGACAGACCAGGCACTGCAACTCTTACCTCACCAACAATTTTGAAGAGAAATGAAAACACAGGTCACACTTTGAGTTCATCTATGACAACGTCTGCTCTTTCAGAAGACCAGTCAAACAACAATTTTAATCATACGAACAAACCAAAGAGTGGGAAACGCAGTAATAGACCAATCAGTGCAAAAGGAAGAACTCGACCAAATCTTTCAGTGACTGAGGGCCAGCTGGAAATTAATGGTCATTCCAGCCAGAACGAGAAAAAACCGGAGAAAATGGAACGAGAAGGAACATACACTGCTCCCACACAGAAGGGACCACCGAAACGTAGAGGACCTCCGGGGTCAAATTTTGTGTTCTGCTACATATGTGGAAGACAGTTCACAACAGCCTCCATAGGTACGTGACCCAAACTGTTGTATATGCAGAACATTTGAACTAAATGATTTGAACATTTTAGAAGTACAATTTTGGTAAACTGTAATTTTAAAATCACTGTCAAATACTCTCTAAGACGGAGTGTTTAACCCACATCTGTGAGGAAAAGTTTGTATTCTTCTTCTCCTTCTCCTCTTCCTCCTCCTTTTCTTCCTTCCCCCATTTGTTCTCAGAGGTAGTCTACAATAGGTGCCACTGATTTCGTGTAGGTGGTCTATAGCGCTACTAGAAAATAAGATAGTTTCCCATATTTTTCCAGGTAGCCATAGACCCTTGTCAATGGTGTGCTTAACACGCTGACCAGTGTATGTCCTGTTTTTTTGGTAGAGATTAATTTTGAATTCTCTTCATGCTTCAAGCCTTAGCCAGCCTCTCATCTGTGATTTTTGATTTCCAAAATATTTTGTTTGTTTGCATCTTAAGACATGAGGTACTAGGTCCCTTCAAGTTTGGAATCACAAGTTTAAAGAACCAGAAAAAAATAATACTAAAAGAAGTATCCCCAAACAGCCAGCATGAACTGGGTATTAAAGCTGGTTCTCTAACATGAGAGACACTTGCCTTTTCTCTAGATCAATGAACCTTTTAGCATTGTATAACTTAATCAAAGAGATATTAAATGGATAAATAGTATTTAACATTTCTTGAAGTCAAGCCCATTACCATTGGTATTTTAGAGGAAAACTTGTGCTTAAGGCAAATCACATTTTTCAGTTAAGATGAGCATTCAAAATTTACTGATTTACGGGGAATTCTTATGATAAATTTTTTTACTCTTATTGGCTATGGTCTTTTTTTTCCAGGAATTCATGAACCTCAGTGTTTGGAGAAGTGGAAGAACGAGAATAATAAATTACCAAGGGAACAAAGACGACCCTTGCCAAAGAAACCTGAAATTATTCAGAGTGGAGGGAAGTATGATGTACAAGCAGCCAATGAAGCAGCATGGCAGGCCTCTCAGGCCAACCTCGCGCCATGCCCAAACTGTGGCAGAACTTTTAATCCTGACAGACTTCAAGTACATTTGAGAGCTTGCAAACCAAAACCTGGAGCAAACCCCTGTAAGTCAATATTTTTCTTTGGCTGTGTCGAAAAGCTTTTTAAGATGTATAACATTTTCACCAAGTTTTTTTTTTTCCCGCAGTGTCCTTTTGGTATTGTTGATGGTTGTGATGGTGGTATAGGCTACAATCCACCAGTCTTGACTCTTGCCCTTTGACCTCCTCAGTAGTATTTCAAGTTTTTGCAATTCAAGTACAGGCAAAATTGTCAAAGGCAGCCTCCCATTGTCAAGGAGAAAGATGGAAGTCTTAGACAGCAGACACATTGGACAGTCACAGTGTCATTATAATAATTTTTTAAAAATGCAATGGGGGAAATTGGAAATAGTGATTTGTGATTTTCTTGGACAGGTGGTTGTTAGAGCAGGTTTGACTCTAGGCTCCATAGATATCTCTAGGAAAGGAAATGGTTCATTGCTTCTGATTTCTTTTATTACTTCCCACTGCCATATCAGTATTTATACTCTGATTTCGAACTTGGTTTTTACACTATGTATTATAGAAATTTTGAGCTAGCTAGATTTTTTACACTATATTCTCATATAAATATATCAATTTCCCATGAAACACATCAAACATGGATGACTGAAACAGGTTTCCACTGTGAGGGTGATCAAATAAAGTGAACATTATGTTAGTGATTTCCCAAAGCACTCACTGATAAAAGCTTGCCTTCGGCCAATGTTATATTGAGAAAATAAGGTTAAAAGCGTCATGGGTTAGAAGAGAACAATGAATTGCTGTGCTATGGATGTGTAAAAGAATCTGACTTTTTGCAATCTACTGTAGAAAAGAGTGGATTATTTCTCTGTAAAGTTAACAGTTTGTCAGTGCAATGTTGATGATTGAATTATAGGAGACCCAAACCAGAAGATGTAACTCCAGTGAGTTTGAGTCATCCCAATTTTTCTGCACTTAGTCTTTTTTAAAATCTCTCTCTAAGTCTAAGCTTCTTTTGTTTTTGCCTTTCTCTTAATCTTTAGCTGAAAATGCTTAAAATAAGGTAGCAATTTATTCTAGTGAGTTTTTAATAAATAGTTTGGCAAGATTAAATCAATTAACGGAAGTCAGTGTATTTTGATGTCTATTGATTATAATAAAAAGATGGTCAAATGTTTCCATTCAGCAAAAACGAATTTGTCAGAAGAAGATGAATAGAGTAATATTTATGGTGGGGTTAGAAGTGTTTACTTGTAGGCCCTATAGATCATTATAATTTTTTTATTGTTGGCTTTTTCACAGTCAACACTGTGGTCCAGAGTCCGTCACTTTCACAGATTTTTAACTCTTTTCGGACATAGTTTTTTTTTCTGGTCTTGTGGCTCTATTTGGCTATGCAGGTGGTGTACAAAATAACATCATAGAAGCATAACCATCACTCAAAACGTAATATGTAATCTGTCTAGTTGAAGGAAATTGAATGAGGAATACATCCCAATATGAAACAAGGATTAATTTTGAACACAAGTATGCTTTACAAGGGTTGGAAATGGTGATGGTTGTGAAAAATAAATTTTGACGGAAAAAATTACATTCACCTAATATGTGAAAGCAAATCAGTATAGCTGTCTTATCATATACAGGCCAAGAGCATAATCCATAAATTTCTGAATGCGCAGCTTTTTATTTGAAAGCAATATTCCAATTTTTGTTTGAGTTATGATATTTATACAGAGTCCGTTTCATCGTTTTGTTGATGCAAGACCGCAAAAACTAATTCACTCTTTTTTCCCTAAACCCATGCTTTGACAAAGTGAAACTAGATGTTTTCGTTTCCTTAACTCTTTATCTCCAGCAAGCCGCTCCCAGCACAATCCTTTACGACGACTGTGACATCAAAGTACTTTTTGGCAATTGCCGTGAACAGCTTTCTTTTACCGGAAGTTCATTCATTAGATACAGTACCATTATAGATTCGCTAGTTTCGGTTTTATGACTCATTTAGTGATGTTTATGTCATTTTTAGATTTAGTACCAAAAAAGGGCCCCGGCTTAGTGAGGCACCCTATCACAGCCGAAATATCGACGATACGTCTGCAAGGGGTGTGGACTTGTGCCGATATATTGGCGATACGTTCGGAAAGAGTTAATGAATTTTTTAACCAGCTGCAAAACAAATAACACTTTTGAGCTTTTCGTAGTAATAAAGTACCATGACAAACTCTTCTTTTTGTAACATTCCTCAGCATCTAGCACACCAGAATCAAACTCCACAATGAGCACAAAAGGTGTAGCTACAGGAACGTCTGTCAGTTCCAAAAGTCAGGATACATCCCAGCGAGGTCCGCGAACTGTCATCTGTTATATATGTGGACGAGAGTTTGGAACAAAGTCTATCTCTATCCATGAACCTCAATGTTTGGAGAAGTGGAAGGTCCAAAACGCGCAACTTCCAAAAGAACAAAGACGTCCAATTCCTCGCAAACCCAAGGCTGGAGCTGATGGTCAGCTGACAAGGTACATAAGTTGTCATCTTCACTGAATGACAACTATGATGATATTATACTTAAGAGCTGTCTGTACGTTCTTTAGATTGAAAACAATAATTATAGGCCGCTGAACATTCTAATAAGCCTTTTGGAGAAGTGTTTTTCTTGCTCACAGATGAATATGTTCCAGCAGTCATGAAAATGGAAGGGATTTCATTTTGCTGTACTCTGAATAAGTAGATCTATCCCTTGTAAGGCTGAAATGTAGAATATTTAGACAGTTCAGTAAAGCGTTTTTTAAAATAATAGCCTTGATCTGATCTTTTTCAGGGCTCAGATGAATGAGGCTGCTTGGGAGGCAGCTAAGGCCCAGTTGGTGCCGTGCCCAAACTGTGGTCGTACATTTGCACCTGACAGATTAGTGGTCCATCAGAGAGCATGCAAGCCAAAAGCTGGTGGTGGTGGTGGTGGTGGTGGTGGAGGTGGTGCTTCTGCTACAGCAACAGTAAGTTCTTGAGAGAAAAAAAATTGTTTCTTATAGGTTCAATTCCTCTCTTAGAACTAATTGTAAGGTAGGTTATGTAAGACGTGGGACCTCCAATTTAATGTCCTTCTCTGCTGATAAAGCCAAACTATTGTGAAAAAAATATTCAGATTTGAGACTGAATTCTGAAGTTTGGGGAATTCTCAATTCTTTAAGTTTTGCATTTGAATTTTATTTGATCCTTTCTGTAGGTTTTCTTTTCCTTTATCATATCCTCTTCTTTCAATTTTCAACAGGTTTTACTGGTTTACTGAATTTGAAGCTGGAAAGCTAGAGATTAAGAATTTTAATTGTTCTATAAAGTTAGCTCAACTTTAATAAACTAAGTACTAAGTCCCTTTTTTATAATTAATTTGATTAAAGCATTACTAATTTCGTATCGTTCCAAAATGAAAAGGATCAATTTGTTTTCCCCCTGCAGCCTGCTCCATCAAAACCACCTGTCATAAGAAGACCAACAACTGTTGTTTGCTACATCTGTGGCAGAGAGTTTGGGAGCAAATCTATCTCAATTCATGAGCCACAGTGTCTCCAAAAATGGCACATAGAGAATGACAAACTGCCTAAACAGATGAGACGACCAGAACCGAAGAAACCCGAAGTTAGGAGCATTGGTGGTAAGTGCTCTTTATCACACGTTCTTATGCCTCACACTCTTTTCTGATTTATTCTGTCAAATTTTCCTCTCTGAGCAAGTTTATATTTCAATATTTTACTAATTTATTGTCTTTAATTTACTATAGTGATTGGGTCAAAATGACCAAACAAGTCTGGTGCTTGAAAAAAAGGCAAAAAACCATAGAAAACTGTTAGGTTGGTGTTTAAAAATTACTGTTTGAAGTCTCCATAAACTTCTGTATTTGTTTTTTTAAAATATTTTTTTTAAAGGTTGCTGTACCAGCTGAACAAATACTGTTAGTTTTCACCATTTGACATTGTGCACAAATATTCTTCCTTTAGGCAACAAGAGTGGTCAATATGATGTGGATGCGATGAACGAGGCTGCCTGGCAGAGTGCACAAGCCAACTTGTGTAAATGTGAAAATTGTGGTCGCACTTTTCTTCCCGATCGACTCATTGTTCATCAACGGAGCTGTAGACCAAAGCCGCCAAAAGTTGTTGATTAGTTTTTCAGCCTTTGTTGGGAAGGTGCCGCTATATGACAAGGTTAGATAAGTTTTTTATCAGCGCTGTTAAATAGCTTCATTTTCTTTTGCATAAAAAAAAAGATATACCACTTTGCTAGGAGGTCATTTTTGAGAACAGAGCACTTCAGGTCCCCCACACTATCCTAGCATGGGACAGAAATGAAATACAACTTGTCCACGTAAAAAAAATAATCAAAACTATTCTTTCCTGATGTTCATGCTTCATAACATGACCTTTCACTTCTTTTCCAAATGTTCCGAAAACATACCATCTCAGATGCTAGAACTTGCTTAAAAGCTTTATAAATAAGTAAAAATTAAAAACACTTCGTTTTACATATATAATATGTGTTTGTTCTTGTGAATACATATCTATATATGATAAAACATAATGCATGTCACTTTCTTCCATTTTGTCGAGGCTGCGCATTCATACAAAAAATTGAAATGTGAATGGAACTGAAATGAGCTGATTTAGGGTATTTATTCATGCTGGATAGACCAAAGTTTCAGAAGTGCCTACTCTGTTTTGATGTAAAGGAATGCGTGGACATTAACATTTTGTTTTGTTTTGTGCGAGAATATTACCCTTCTAGTTGGTCACAAGTGTGACTGTTTTGTGAGAAGTTAATGAAATTTGTTAGTGTTTATGAAATGCGAACAGTAAGTAATCATACTCTTCTTACAATCATAATTTTTTTTACCTATTATGAAAAAAGGGGTGTGTGACGTGGATGTTACAGCTATAAAATACTCCTGAAGTTTGACAGTATGAACTTTTTCCCTTTTGAATATATACTAAAATAAAATCAAAATTGTCCAAGACATCCATCCATTGTTGAGGAGAGAAGTGATTGTCTTAGACAGGTGGATATCTAGGACAATGTCATTATAATCATATTAAAAATGCAAGGAGGGAAATAGCAAGTAGTCATTTGTACAGATGATTGTCTTGGACAGATGGCCATTAGAGCAGTTGACTTTTGTTATTACTTCCTCTTGAAAATGTTTTTTTTTACCTAAATGTTTTTTTAAAGTCCCCATCGACACAATTTAGATCATTTAGAAGGCTGGCTTCTGACCTTGCCTATCAGGACCAACCCAAGCTGAGAGGGATACAACTCCCCTGCAGATGGGTCGAGAACTCGATAAAGATTTGTCCCCACTTGAGAATCGAACTAACCGTTACATTACAGATGCTCTGTTTTTCAAGTGTGAAAGCTAACTGATTTAAAAAAAATTATGATAGTGCCCTGTACATTCCTACTTTGCTTGCCATAGTGTCATTACGCAATCAGTTGCACTTCTAAAAAATTGTTTCATTTGAAACAGCATACATAAAATTGAATAATGTCTGAATATTTAAACCATTACATGTAAATCATTTTTAAAAAATTCTGTAGTCTTGTAACTGTGGAAATAATTCCTTTCAGTCTATTAATTTCCTGAACTACACAAATTACCAGAGATAAAAAATGGAGAAAGGAAGGGGGGGGGACACGTTTTAAATGGGTATTTTCTCTGATCGTTAATTCTTGAAAAAAAAAAAAGAGATAAAAAGTCTACGCACATTCTCATCAGGCTTCAATGGCTTTACTACCGGTACAGTTTTTGATTTAACATGTCTTCTGTGAGTTATTTTGTGAACGAAATGTCAGCCATTTGATAACCTTTTAAAGTTGCATCTTTTCAGCAGATCTGAATTTTAAAAATGATATTGATAGCGTTTTTGTTCTTCTCAAAAGTGCATTGAAGTTTGATAGGTTTCTTAAAGTTGAAGTAAATCTTAGAGAATAAGTGCAAGAAACCACATACTGTTTCCTTGAGAGTCATCGTAAGTGGGCTGTGATAAACAAAGTAAATTATACACATAACTCTTTGTCAACCCAACAGCAAAAGGAATGTAAGTCTTGATTTTTGTTAATTTCTTTTATGGGGACACTTGTTGCTTGTAAAAACGTTTTTTTGGATTGTGGGCCATTATCTTATATTATGCATTTTGCTTTTAGTTATTAATAATTATAGGCCTAATAATAAAATTAATAGTATTAATGATAAACATTGTGAAAAATAAGGGTCCAAGTTCTCGGTTTGAGAAATTTTGAGATTTTGCTTAACACATTGACTGCTATTTGTGTAAGATTTCGCCATTGGACATTTTAAAAAAATGATGTACGAGTATGACAGAGCCTCACTCTGAGCAGTGGACATGTGTTAGTTTGCTTCATTGCACATTATTTTTTTATCTCAAACTTTTGTCTGTGAACAAAGACAAATACGGTATCTGACTCTTATAAAGAAATCGATTCATATCAGTAGTATATTGACATTTCACAAACTTTGAAACCTTCTATCATTTTCATTTCTTCCATTTTTGGCTACTGTTACTCCTCTAAGTAATAATTTCAATGATATGTATTGTATAATCAGACTGTTTGATCTTTATTTATACCCATAATGCGAGCCAATAAGCAATACCACTGAGCCTGTGTAAAATTGAATGTCTTTTTTGTGCAAAGATGTTTCTGTTGTAATGATTACAGGGTATAGCCTATTTGCATGTAACAAATGGTGATAATGTTGACTGCAAACTTGTTTCTAGACATTGTTGCCTGTGATAACTTGGTTTTTTTTAAAAAGCTAAATAGTATTGAATGGTGAAAAGTGATTTATTGTCACAAGAGAAGAAGTTGCTGTTTCACTACTTCTCTCAGGACCTGAATATGATAGTATTTATTCTATTAGTGCAGTGTTATCTGAGTCTGACATTTCAGCGGTCTGAAAGGTCTTAAGTGGGAAAGGATGTAAAACTTATTAATTGGTGTCATCTTAGTTTTATTCATGCTTTCAGCTTTTTGTATTATTTTTGGTTTTTACTCTATTTAATAATGATAACACATGTAATGATAATAATGTGCTTGGTGGTTTGGATTTTATTTTAGTCATGGTATTGTAAAACATCAATGGCACCCTGTTGTTTCAAAAAGTCACTAAAAATATGTAGAATCAATGAGAGATTTCCCATTTATGACAGCCATTACATGTTTCCTTAATAGAAGCAGATTGTTTTATTGACAGCTTCTACTTTACAACACCCATTCTCAACCTCTCAAAATTGTTTGTGTGTGTGTACCTGGAGAAAGGTCCCAGTTGTCAGAAATTTGGACTTATTGAAATAAGGGCATATCCTTGTAGTAAATTCAATGCTGAACATGCTGATTTTTAATTTTTCAAATATTTTCATTATTTAAAAACATGCCACATGGTGTAAAAACAAAGTTTGGAGAAAACCCCAATTTGTAGCACATTTTAAAATGTTCGTGAAGCACAACATGTTGCAAAACTAACTGATAAAAAATATTTAGACTTAAAATATTATAAAATCCTTTCAGTTATGTTGTTTAAGAAATCGTTTATCCTTTGTTTTTTTGATGGAACAAAATTCTTGAACAGGTACTATATTTTGGACCTTTTTACCCCGCTGCTCAAAAATAGCTTTGCCAACAACTGGGACCTTTCTCCAGGCACACACACACATATCATTAGGCTTCCTTTGATAAAAACTCTAATGAACCAGGATAGCACTGAATTGCAAGCATATTGAAACTGTATGAGCTCTTACAGGTTTCTCATTTTGCACCATGAGTTACATCATATCCATCTATAATAGCTAGTACTGAAAAGAAGCAGACCAATGTCATTACTCTTTTTATGAAGTAGTTTCCCTCATGTTTCAGGAAACCTTATAATAATGTCTGTTGCAAAGATACTCTTAATTGTCAATAGGTATGGGTTAATATTGACCTTTGCTTGAAAAATGCTGTTCTTCTTCAGTTCTGAACAGCTAAGATGTCTTAGTTTTTAATGATTGCAACATCTGTCTACACAGGGTCCTCTGGAGTTTTTCATTTTCATTAAAGTCTAGGTACTCACTCCAACTGCTGTAGAATCAGAGAAATTGGGGGAGGATACTGGAATGTTATTTCCTGAACAATTTTTCTTGAACCATGGGGGGATGAAACTAGGCACTTTAACATGAGAGCTTTAATCTTCCGCCATCAGTGGTATGATTTGAGAAAGGAAATTCAAATTTTCTTCTCACAAGATGCTTGTTTTTCTCTTTAAGGTCATCACTCCCTCTGCAAGCAGGAGTTCTTGCATTGTGTGTTGTGTAAGTGAACAAAAGGTCTTTGTTACACACATTTGACCACACACGTTTTAACATTTCGTTACTATTTACTAATAAAATGGTGCTCATGTCTCATTTGTAATGTGCTACACAGTCTCCTACTACATACATTTAGCATCAATTTTTTAGATGTTATTTATAAGTGTACTCTGTGATGTTTTAAAAAATCTCACTTTGTGTTAAGGTTATGGATACAAACTGTTTTTTTTTTTTTTCATGTAAGCGTACTGTTATAATGTATTATTGTAATTGTTAACCTCTTTTGAGAAACAAATGAGTGTACTGAAGGTGCTTTTACTTTTAAAGAATTATATAGCAGATTGTGTATTCATAATTTGGTTAGTTAGCACTAGTATCTCCTTAAGAAACAGAAAACACCAAGACTTCTTCACAAAGCTGACATTTAAAAAAAAATTATCCATGCATTTCTACTCGGAGCCTCTGTGACAGGCTAGGTACTTATTAATTTTCTAAAACTGAACTATATATAGAAAAACATGTGTTCAGATTCTGTTACTGTTTTGCAAAACATATCCCTCAAAATACTTCACTAACAAAGACTATACAATAAGTTTGGCACCTGTGGGTCGTTTGTAGAGAAGGTGCTCCTTGAAATTAATGACAAGTCTGGTTTATGACTATTACCACTCCTTTTCAAGGCACAGTTGAGAATAAAAATAGTAACAGTAACAATGAAGTGAAGGAGAGGGACCAAGCAAGTGTAGAAAGTACACCCACTATAATTATAAGGTATCATTGCCACAAACTACCAACAAATTTAAAGAGGATACCTCCGTTTTATTACCATGAATGCTATATTGACTATAGAACATGTGTTCCGCGCAATTTACCGATTAAGTTTGCGCTGCGCGTTTTAACAATCATATAATTGCGCGGCAATTTTAAGATTTAATAAGATTGCGCTGTGCATTTTTACGATCGTATAATTGTATCATTCTTGTGAACTCTTGAGTTTTATATTTTAATTTTTATATTTTTACACTTTTGAAAATATATATGAATGTTCCTTGATGTGAGTAAAAGAATAAAGATGGAAGTGAATTAAAAATTATTTTAAAAAAAAATGAAATAAATTAATGTAGGCTACTTTGTGAACTTTGAGTTTGATACCTGGCATTGTATCATTCTGGTGAGCTCTTCTGTTTCATACATTAATTTTTATCTTAATATTTTTACATTTTTGAAAATACAGTGGAAACCTGATATAACGGGGGTGGTGGGACCTGAGAAAAAGTCCTGTTATATCAGATCCTTGTTAAATAAGAAATGCAAGGGAAGTAAGCATTTGTGGACTAATCCAGCTGTATTAAGTTATTCATGAGTAGTGTAGTGAGGCTTAGAGCTAGATCGAAGTCTGCAACACACCGCAGCCCTCTCTTGTTTCACCGGCTGCGTGTGCTTTCAGTGGCATGGCTTGCGTGGGCTTGCTCTATAACTGCGTTACTTTCTCTCTCTCCCTCTCTTTCTCTTACTTTTTACACATTGTTAACGAGCCTTTGTCCCTGCTATAACCGATTGGGCTCCGCTCAGGCCCTGTTACTGCCCATAACTTTTAATAGAGACAAAGAGTAGGAAAAAATGGGGATTTAACAAATCCCTGTTACTGTTATTACCGGGCCTGTTATGTATGGTTTCCACTGTATATGTGAATGTTCCTTGATGTGAGTAAAAGAATAAAGATGGAAGTGAATTTTAAAACAAATTATTTACAAAATATAAAATATTAACCCAATTATTAACGTGACCCAACAGCGCTATTATACAATTGTTAAAACGTGCGGCGCAATCTTAAGATTGCCATGCAATTATACGATCGTTAAAACCTGCTGCGGTAAATTTCGCGGAACACATGTCTTGTGTAGCAGAGTAATAAAACTGCAGAAGTTAGATCTACCATATTCTTTTTATAACTCGCAAAAATAGCACCGGCTGAATTTACAGAAACTGTTTCTAAGAGTTCAGTGCAGTCTCATCCATGAGTCTTATGCAACCTGTCAAGATAAAGCTGAAGTTGCTAAAAATTAATCTGAAAAGTTTCCCCCCCAGTCAACATTTCAGCATAGAGGCTGAATTTGCATGACCTGAAGATTACAAGCCATCCTTCTAATCTAAGTGATTAAGTTGCCAACAAAATTTGGAACTGAAATTCACTTCAGTTTGCCCTTTCAAGTCAATTTTATCCCTTTATATTCAGTATGTTACTTCTATAATGTATTGGCTTTGTAAAGATTTGTTATGTCATGTGAGGGATATTATCCATTTCATAACTTGCCATGCTTCCTTCCTGTTAATATAATAAAAATAAAAACATAACATATAGTATGTTATAACCTAGTAAAGGTATCCTTCACCACAATCTTGCTTTTTTTCATTTGTATCATGTTTCACAAATTTCCAACACAAATCCTGTGTTTTGCATGTTTATTAGATTCTTGCACCCAATATTGTCGTCTGGTGTAGCAGTGAAGTGTTTCACCATTGCATGCAGGAGACCCAAGTTCAATTCCTGCGTGGGGAGAATTTTTATAGAGTATCTCAACTGTAGTGGAATTCTCCACTCGCGGTTAGCTTCGTTGATTATGAAAAGGCGTTTGACAGCGTGGACAGGGAAACTGTAGAAACTCATGCGGCATTTAGGAATAGCCTACCTGACTAAATCGTCAAGCTTGTGAAGGCCACCTATGATGGAACAAACTGCCAAGTCTTCCACGAAGGACAGCTCTCAGAACCATTCCAGGTACAGACAGGAGTGCGACAAACATGCTTGCTCTCACCTTTTCTCTTCATACTGGCAATTGACTGGGTCATGAAAGAAGCCACCAGTGGCAAGCGTAATGGAATACAGTGGACCCCATGGAAGCAGCTAAATGACTTGGACTTCGCTGATGACCTTGCACTGCTCTCTCACACACATGCTCAGATGCAAGAAAAGACCAAGGAACTCAACAGCCTATCAAGGAGTGTTGGCCTACGTTCACATCCAGGCAAGTCAAAAGTAGTGAAGCTAGGAAAAGTTTCAAGCTCTGCTGTGACAGTGGATGACACTCCCCTGGAAGAAGTGGACTCATTTACCTACCTTGGAAGTGTCATCGATGGTAAAGGTGGAACCGAGGCAGATGTTAAAGAAAGAACCGCTGAGGCAAGGTCAGGATTCAATCAATTATCAAAAGTCTGGAGAGCAAGCAACGTCTCACTGCGCACCAAGATTCGACTCTTTGACCCTATTCGTACGCCCTGTGGTCATTTTGTACCCCTGGGGTTGTATTCTTCACATTTTATAATACTTCTAGTGCGAATATCTCTTTGAAACTCTCAGTATTTTTCCAAAAATCATTTTGACAGACTGCTATGCAAAGCGTACGGATCGGATTAACGAGTAAATTTCCTTTAGAAAGTGGTGGCACAGAGTTCCCTACATAGTATGGGTACGATAGTAAAACACGACGTACAGATTGGGTTAACTCCAACGTCTAGTCTGTGCTCCTCTACGGCTGCGACACTTGGAAGACAACAAAGACTCATTTCAATTTTTTCCATTTTATGTACAAAAATGAAAAGTGCTAATCATGCTTTCAAGGGTGATGTTAAACTACCTGCTGTACAACCACAACTAACCCTAGGAAATTCTCAATTATTGGGGTGCATTCTTAGTTTAGATGTATCTTGAACCTGTTCAAATTTCAAGTTCGTAGCTCCACTCCTTCATACCTAGGTAAAAAACTTATTGATATCCCCTCGTAAGCTACTGGTATTTCAAGGCAGAGTCCAAGAATTAATATTCTGATACAAGCTAGTATGTATGGAGAGCATCTGGTGACAGGGTTGTACTTCCTCTCCAAAAATTTCCGCTCAGGAACACCTCATTCAGGGATTCTAACCCCAGAACCCAGCCCTGTTGTGCAAGTATTTTTCAAAATGAGCTAATGCTTCTTCATACAAGTTGTCAAACTCTGATTGATTCAATAACATTATTCAGTAAGAATTTGAAAAAGAAAAAGGAATGCTACTCAACAGATGTCCAATTGACCAAATCAACCTAAATGTAGCCATACTATTGACCCTGTATCATAGTTAATTAGTATTTGTTTTTTGGGCTTTTATTTTCAATCATACACTCACTTGAAGACAATATATATCAATCAGAGATTGACAAACAATAGAGGTTTAGTTTTAGTAAGTTTTACGGCACTTGCAACACAATAAGGTCATCTAAGTGCTGAAGATTAGAGTTGTTACCAGAGAGTGACTTCAAACACGAAAAAGGAGGGAAGATAAAGACGATAGATTTTTCTTCAGTTTGATAGGAAAGAAGAAGCAAACTACACCAGAGCACCATCCAACCACCCACAATAGAGGTTTGTATAGAACGTTACGACACACAGCTGCTAGATAGTATTGAGAGAGAGAGAGAGAGAGAGAGAGAGAGTGAGAGAGAAAGAGAGAGAGAGAGAGA